GTCTGACATACTTTGGACATGTTGCCAGGAGGCACGGGTTCCTTGGAGAGGGACATCATGCTTGGGAGGGTGGAGGGACGGCGCAGGAGGGGAAGACCCTCTATGAGATGGATTGATTCGGTGACTGGGTTAATTGGGATGGGTGTGTCAGAAGCAGTGCAGTTGGCGCAGGATAGAGCAGGGTTTAGGGCTGTTGTGTATAGGGTCGCTATGAGTCGCAAACGACTCGACGGCACATAACGACAACAACAAAAAGATGTGACTTTCCAAATAGATGTATATTGGCCCAATTTGAAATCTTGTGAGAATGTCAAGCGAGCTTGACTGGATTTAGGGCTTTGTTAGAGACCCCAGTAGCTGACATACTTGAAAGAATGCCTGGCCACTCCATGCCAGCCTCTGGACCACCTGATCTTCCAAAATGATTAAATATTAGTGACAGCCCCCAGCAGCACCACGACCGAGACAGCCTGCTTTCAGTTGGGCACACTGGGGTGTTGGAGGGTGGTTGGCACGGAGCATGGTGGGTCCCCTTTGTCCCCTTCGCAGGGTGTGTTAAGAGTTGGGCAGTGTCCTGGTTGAGGGCCAGGCCGCAAGCCCGGGCCACCCTGTGCTCATTGTCAGGCCAAGATCCATGCCCTCCATTCTATTGCAGGGCTCCTAATGCTGTGGTTCAGTGTCCAGAGCCTCTTCACATTTGGGACCTGTTAGCAGATCTTGGTCCAGATAGCCTTGCTAGGCTCACGTAATTACCAACCCGATCTCTGCCTTTGAACAATCCAGAAAGTATTCACCAAGCAGAGGGCTGTCACATTACGACAAGTACTATTTTTAGTCTGTGGTCTGTTTGCTGTTACTAAGAAGTGAATTTCAGCCTTTCCATATTTATTTCAAGGAGGGAGGTCTATCCACTGAGAATATAACTTTCTAATAAATCTTTTTTACCTTTAGAGAAAAAAAATTTTGTGGGTTGTGTGTTAGATTATGATAGCCAGCCCCTGTGGTACCCACCATGCCCGCCTGGCAACCCTGGGCCACAGAGAGGCTGTGAACAGGCCCTGGGCTTACCATTTGCATCTCAGCTCTCGTTTGCAGCCTGTGATGTCAGGTGATGCCCCCTGGGGACCCATGTGTGTCAGCATCTCTGATTCCTTGTGGACACATGGGGAACCTTAACACAGACCCTCTAAACTAAGATGTGGGTGCTTCGCAGCTTTGTGAAAGAATTCCCCTTGTAAACAAAAACTAGATAAAGCGTCATACCAAGTTTAGTTTAAGTAACAATCCCATAACCTGTGTCTTCTGTAACCCAGTTGTCGTACCTGAATTGATAATTACTGTTTTTCAATAACTCATGCCATTGAAACAGCTCCTGCACTCAGTATCTGACTGCTGCAGAGAATGGGCAGCCTGGCTTGATGTGGCGAGGGGCAAGGGCACCGTAAGGGCTGTAAGCGTACTGCACACACACACACCCAGTATTAATGTCTGCCGGGGCTGTTGATTCTTAGAACTTGTACTAACTTGACATGCACAGAACTAATGCTCCAGGACTGCAGGTTTCCCTGGCATAGTTAGGTTAGTGGGTCAGTCTCCGACTTCCACAGCTGGCCTCTCCTTAGGTGATGTCACCGCTGGCAACAGGAATTCCTTACCCCTAGTGACCACTAAAAATCTTTGATTTCTAGCTGTTTGCTGCTTTTTTGTGTTCATGATACCCTGTAATGTGTGTCTTTGGGGACTGAGTGAGAGGTGGCATTCTTGTGGTAATGTCCCCTGCATCTTCCTTTCTCTTTACGATGGAGGGACCACACGTTCTTCCTATTAGCTGATGGACATTTGGTGCTTTGAACTCCTGGGCTTTGTGCAGACTGTAGCAGTGGAATTACAAGGTGTCCATGCCATCATCACTTTGGAATAGGCTTTTTTTAAGAAGTCCTTTTCCTTCACATTTCCTACATTCTGCTCAGAGGCTGTTGAATCTCTCATCTCAGTGCCCAGTTCCACTCAGCCCCTCAGGATGGCCAGGAGTCCACTGACTTCTGCAGAGCCAAAGCAGTGGTCATCTTCCACGTCAGCAGCCTCGTTCCTCTACAGCTTTATCTTTGACCTCAGGAACTAGTGAGTCTAGTAGCTCATGTTCTCTTGATCCTTGACGGTGTGGAAAGATCGTCCCTAATGCTAAGGTCATTTAGAGTACTTGGCTTTGTTCAGTGACTGAGAAACTAAGAACAAAAACCACTGTTGCCTTTCTGGTACCTTCATGTGACAGGAGTCAAGTAAGAAAAAAATCACTAAGACATGGGTCTGCAAACATCCTTGCTGTAACCTTCGTACCCTGTGGTCAGAAGCGGAGATTGTGCTTGGCCTTACCCCACCAGCACAAGAGGACTGTTGAGTGAAGCTGGGCCCTGACTCTGTGACCTTGGTCTTGGGGTCTGTGGTCTCCCACGCCACCATGAGGATGAAGGTGCCTGTGGTTCTTGGACTCCGCTGCAGTTGGTTTGGGATTAAACACTCATTTCTTATCAGTTTCTTTCCCAGACATTGGCAGTGCATTTCCCACCACTACTAACAGTAAAATTTCATTTTTAAGGATAACTAATTTAAGTTCTAAAATTGACAACTTTTTTTTTATTTTGTCAGGTCTTGAGTCACCACGTCCAAATATCATTCTTGGGCTAGTGATCTGTCAAAAAGTGAGGCGTCCTTCAAACACAGGAGACCTGGACCGGATGGAGGAGAAGCGGAGTCGACTTCAAATGCCAGAAGATGGAGAGGCCTCGGCCTACCCCAAGGTGGTGCCCACTCCCCAGGCCGACAGGAAGACCTCCAGGCAACCGCTCTACACCTCAGACCTTGCTGCCAGCACCACGCCACCCGGCTCCCCACCGCCGCCACCACCCCCGCCACCGCCCCCACCGCCGGAACACCCAGGCCCTTCAGTTTCGTCATCTGTGTTAAAAATAATGTCTTCTCTCAAATCAGGGGCCTCAAACACTACAACCCCTGCAACCCTGGCCCCGGCCGTTACTACTGCCCCCTCTGCTGCCCCCTCTGCTGCCACCTCTGCTGCCACCTCTGCTGCCTCAAAGACTGCTTCGCCCCTGGAACACATCTTACAGACTCTCTTTGGAAAAAAGAAATCATTTGACCCCACGGCCAAAGATACTATGGACCCTGCTCCGGCTACTCTCCCAGACTCCAAACCCAGGGTGGAGGATGTGGTGGCAGCCACTCCTCTATTAGACCCCATTGTACAGCAGTTTGGACAGTTCTCCAAAGAGAAGGTGCTGGAAGAGGAGGAGGACGACCGTCCCTATGACCCTGAGGAGGAGTATGACCCAGAGCGAGCCTTTAACACGCCACTGCCCAACACCAACGCGAACACTGAGCACACGGAGCTTGCTGAGCGTGAGGAGGTGGCCTACGACCCAGAGGATGAGACTATCCTAGAAGAAGCCAAAGTCACTATTGATGACCTGCCCAACAGGATGTGTGCCGATGTTAAAAACACTTCTGTGGACCGGCCTGCTGAGTATGTGTCCACAGCCCCTGCCCCGTCGCTGGTGGAGCAGCAAAAGATGCTGGAGGAGCTCAACAAGCAGATTGAGGAGCAGAAGCGACAGCTGGAGGAGCAGGAGGAGGCGCTCCGGCAGCAGAGGGCCGCTGTGGGGGTCTCCATGGCTCACTTCTCTGTGTCTGATGCCCTGATGTCGCCATCTCCCAATTCAGCCCTCACCAAGGCTGAGCTGTTCCAGCAGGAGCAGCAAACCCTGGACCGGCTAGCTTTGCCCTCTGCCACGAGCCAGGCAGCACTCGGAATGGGCACTGAGGCCAGGCCCAGCCGAGACCCTCGACAGGCAAGGAGGCTGGCCACTGAGATTGGGGACAGCGAAGTGAGGCCACAGTCCAGCCCCTCACTCAGCACCCCACCCCCAGGAGACACTCCTGAGGAGAAGGACCTTCTGACACTGGACCAGAATGGACAACGAGGTGGACCCCCAGAGAACCAGACTAAGCACCCAGCAGAAGATGCGCAGCCTTTAAGAGCTGCAGACACGGGAGCTAAGCCCACACGCAAGGTCCTGTTGCCCACGCCCCCCAGCGCTGCCTTCCAGCCTAGCTTCCCCCTGCAAAGCTTCAGCCCTTCTGGAGGCAAGGACCCTTTCTCAGGCACAGCATTTGCATCTCAGGAACAAGCTCTCAGGCCAGTCCCCTGTGAGGATCCAGGAACCACGCTGTTCTCTGAGAACAGCAGCACCTTGGCAACTGAGCTAGGAGGAGAGCACCAGCCCAAAGCCTGTGAGGGGGCCACCACCTTCCCCCTGTCCATTCAGAAGGGTGGCATCCCCCAGCCCCAGCCCCAGTTCCAGGGCCTGCGGGAACCTGCACCCCGCACTTTTGGAATGTCAGGGCTGCATGGCCCCAGCTTCCCTGGACCCAGGGGACCAGTGCTCCCATTTTCAGATGATGGAGTTGATGATGCGGCACGGGGACCTCTGCACCCCCGATTTGGGACCCAGAAGGGACCTATTCCTCCCTTATTCTCTGGGCCACAAGGGCCCTCTCCTTATGGGGACACCAGAGGCCCCTCGCCCTCCTACCTTGGTGGGCCTCGAGGGGGAGCACCACCCCAATTTGAAGAACGAAAAGACCCTCATGGGGAGAACAGAGAGTTCCAGGAAGCCCCCTACACAGAAATGGCTGGGCCCCCCACCCAGTTTGAAGGCCCAGAGCCCACCTCATTTATGGGACCTCGAAGCTCTGCCCCTTTCCAGTTTGGGGGCCCGAGACGGCCGCTACTGTCACAGTTTAAAGGACCCAGAGGAGGACCCCCTTCCTCCCAGTTTGGAGGCCAGCGAGGACCACCCCCTGGCCACTTTGTGGGCCCACGGGGACCCCATCCAAATCAGTTTGAAGGGCCTAGAAGCCAGCCCCCCAGCTTCATGCCAGGACCCCGGGGGATGCCCCCGCAGCAGTTTGAAGAGCAGAGGGTCAACTCCCCACCCAGGTTCTCCAGTCAGCGGGCATCAGCCCCTCTCCAGTACGGGGGACCCCGGGGCTCTGCACCCTTCATGGACAAGAATGAGCAGGCCCCTGCTCGCTTCCACTTTCAGGGTCAACCTCCACAGGCCTCAAAGCCAGTCCCCAGGCCCCTGCTGGAGCTGCCCAGCCACCCCCTGCAGCTGCGGAAGGACCGCTGGGACGACGCTGGCCCCTCTGGTGCTGCCAGCAGCCCTGTGCCTGGCCCTGAAGCTGACGCACCTTGGCCACCGGCTGACTTCCGTGAGGGCAAGGGTCATGAGTACCGTGGCCAGGCCTTTGAGGGGCGGCCTCGGGAGCGCTATGAGGCTGGGCCCAAGGACAAAGCCCTGGACGAGCCTGAGGCCCAGCCACCTGATGGCCGGCAGGCTAGGGCCTTTGAGGACAGACGGCGTGAGCGAGAGCATGGAAAGGCGTGGGATCGAGACCGTGGCAAGAACTGGGGTCGAGACCGGGACTGGGACAGACACCGGGACAAGGACTGTGGCCGCGAGTGGGACAAGAGCAGAGAGCGGAGCACCGCCAGGGACAGGGAGCGAGAGTGGGACCGCGGCCGGGAGCGCAGCAGGAACCGGGACAGGGACAGGCGGCGGGACCGTGACAGGTCTCGCAGCAGAGACCGTGACCGTGACCGCGACAAAGCCAGGGATAAGGACCGAGACAAGGGTAGGGACCGCAGAGACCGCAGCCGCAGCAAGGAGCGAGGAGGCCGAGAGCTGAGAGCAGACGCCCCCCGCGGCCCAGACGAGGGAGGGCCAGTCCCCCCTGCCCAGGCCTAGAGCTGGACTGGACGATCCAAGGGGCACGGGAGACTGCTTTTGTGTGGGAAGTCTGGCAGAGATCCTTTTTTAAAAGCCAAGTTTATTAACAAATAATTTTTAATTGACTGAATTTAGCTAAACAAGAATATCCTGGACTTACAAATTACTGTGTATAGTGGTTTCTTACAGATTTTCACATCTTTTTCCATTCTGATGCTTTTGTAAAAAAAAAATATCTAAGGACTCTAATATTTCCGTTTAAAATTACATAAATGGGAAAGTCTACAAAAGCATATTGCTTTGTCAGATTATAAAGTTATCTTTTCCAATAACTTGACTATTGTACATTTTAAGGGAATTTCAGTGGACGCTAAAGCCATACTTTTACTGACATCTCATCTGCATTTCTGTCTTTGCAAAGACACTGTTCTAACCATCTTTAACGTGCTTTTCCACGGACGGGATGATGTCTGGTGGGGGTGTCCTGGGTGGGAACCAGGGAATTGTGCTTGGCTGTTGTAAACAGTATTACTCGCTTGTGTCTGCAACATTGAGAAACACAAAATTTTTAGGTGTTAATTTTGGCATTTTTGTCAAATTTGAGATACAGAGGAAACAAAAGCACATTTTTTCCATTTGAGTCAGTTTTTATATATTGTCATACAAATTTTCCAAAAACATTAAAAATAGCATCGGTATAATAAGTGGGAATTGTTTTCATTTAAATGACCATTTATTGATATTTCCATTTTCCATCCTAAAAAAAGAGTGAGGATAAACCAATGAAGTATATGTTTTCTAGAGGGGGTGTCCTTTGTTTTGAATAATCAAGAGCATCTCTCATATGTAGAGTTCTGCCCTCTGGGCATGTCCAAGGAAAAGCGCATAAAACTTCACACTCTTCTATTTGTCAGGGGATAATTTTTAGTTTTTGTCATTGAAAACAGAACAATACTTGTATAAATCTGAAATGGAAGGTAGATTAGTTGAAGAGGTGCAAACGAAATAGAAATGGTTTCACTGAGGTACAGTCTGCTGCCTGTCGTGTGCTCTCAAGTTGTGCAGATGTGTGAAATAGAGAAAACCTTGCTAATTTATTTGACTGTACAAATATCCTTTGGTATTTTTTTACCTTTTCATAAACTTTTGCAAATGTAAAATTAAACATTTCCATTTGTTCATTGGCATCTACTACTCCACTGTACATCACTACCGATTTTTCTCTTTAGCATAATTATTTAAGTTACAAAAACATTGAGAATTGAGTCCTTTGTGATGACTGATGTCATAAACCAAGGGTCAGCAGGTTCAGGTAGATTCAAGTAGGTGTCAAATTCCTACATCTAACACGATGTGAAAGGTGGTTTTTAACAAAAATGTTCTCATTTAAATACACAAATGTAAAAATCAAGTGTGTTTCTTTAGGTTTACTGGATAGAAATTTCTGTAAATTGTATTTTATAAAATATATCACTGTACATTAAAACATGGAACTTCATAGGTTTTGTTACTTGAAGTAGAATAAACATCTACAGAACATTTGTCAGTGTGCCATCATGCAGCCTTTTTTTTTAAAGTTTGGGGGCTGTCCTGGCCCTCCTCCTTGGTGCTGTGGTGGGCCTGAGCACCTGGACCACTAGTCCAGCATGGAACTTGGTCAGAAACCCTGCTCTTGGACTGGGGCAGATAGCCGGCATAAGGACGGTGCCTGTGGAGGTGGCTCAGGGTCTTGCTGCACCCATCCCGACAGGCTTGCTGGTAACTCACCTCCATGCAGGTTAGCAAGCTGCAGGAACTGGGAGCCTGACCCAAGAACCCCAGTACAGGAGGGGCAGCCTGACCTGAGCAAGCAAGGGGACCGTCAAGGGTCACAGCATGGTGCAGGGTCGACCTGAAAAAGAGAACAGTGAGAGTTGACCTGAATCTACAGGGCCTGGAGCGTTTGTGCTGACAGGACCCTCCCAGTCCCTACATGGAGCTTAAACTAAGGCAAAAGCAGAAGTAGGCTGATGACTCCATGTAAGTGTTAACCAACTTGATGATGCCCAGGTGTGGTGGCTGGACGAAGATCCAGCCAGAGTGAATACACAGGACAAAAGGTGAAAGAATGACCCTTGCCCTTGAGCTTGGAGTCATGGAGGAGGCTGCACATAGGTGGCTCCACCTTTGGACCCTGTGCCAGAACCAAACTCCTCAGTAGCACGCAGACCAAGGCACCTGCCACAGATCTCACCACTCAGTGCAGGCAGGCATGTTGGCTTTCCCTGTCCGGCAACCTGACCCCAGGGTCCAGCTGGAATGTGCTCTGAGTCAGCTGTGGCCTGCACCCACAGCAGCTCTGCACAATTCAGGCTCCAGCGAGAAGGGAGCACCTGGTTGGCCTCTTGTTGATGCCATGGAGAAAACGCTAAGGAAAGAGCACAGATGTCAGCAGGAGACATCAGGGCCTCAAGGGGCTAACACCCCGAGGGGAGACACCCAGCCCTCCCCTTCTGCATGATTGATTAATCCTGTTGCCATAACTTGGGGAGGCCGAGAGCCAAGGCAGTGGAGGGGGCAGTGTGTACCCTAGGTTGCAACTTCTTTCACAAGATGAAGGCACAGTGTCTCGGCAGGCTTATGCAGTACAAAACGCACCTGCTCCCTAACACAGAATAGGTGAGCAGCACCGGCCAGGCTCCAGCTGCTGACGGGCAGCAAGCACCAAAGCCAAGGTTTAATGGGTCCTGCGGCAGGCCTCGCCCACCATAAGGCGACTTTTATAGGTGAGGAATCTTTTTGCAAGGTTAGGAGAGAGGCTCTGGTTGTTAGTGGAGACGGTTTTGAAGATGCAGAGGCTATAGTTCCGGGTGAGCTTGCTTGTTGCCATGGTTACCAGATTGGTTGCCATAGTGACCGGGTTTGTTTACATAGGAACCTGAAGGTTTCTATAGCCACTAAACTTAGACCGCTCTTGCGGGGACCCGTTTTGAAGGTGCACAAAGCTGTTTCAGAGTGACTCATCCTGTTGCCATGGGTTCGGGAAAGGGAGATGGGGGCGTGGGGGACACAGCGTAGGAAGAGGGTGTCTAACCTTAGTTTCCAACTTCCTTTCACAAGATGAAGACACAGTGGGCCAGCAGGCCTATGTAGCATGAAACGCACCAGCTCCCTAACCCCGAAAATGTGAACAGCACCAACCAGGCCCGGGCTGCTGACGGGCAGCAGTCTCCAAAGCCAAGTTTATGTGGGCCCTGTGGCTAACAGCACCCACCTCACGCTGCAATAATGATCATAAAGCGATTTTTGAAGGTGGAGAATTTTGTTTGGAAGACTACAAGAGAGGCTGAGAGGGTTAGAGGCTGGTTTTGAAGATGCAGATGCTATTTTTCCATTTGAGCGAGCTTCTTGCTATAGTTACCAGTGCTGGCTGGAACCTCAGAACAACAGTTGTGCCCATTGATCACCTTGAAGTAGGGAGACACAAGAATAGTCTGAGCAAACCCTCAGCCCATCAAGTCAGTTCCACCTCCCAGCGACCCTGTAGACAGAGCATAAACCACAGGGTCTCCCGTGCTGTGAATCTTTACCAAAGCATACGGCCTCAGCTTTATCCCTCAGGGTGCCTGGTGGGTTCACTGGCCTTGTAGTGAGCAGCAGGGCTCCCTAATCTAAATATGTAGTATCTATATAGTAGCATCTGTCTGTAACCGTGTACACATACAACAACAACATTAACAGCCCGCTGCTTATAAGAAGTCTCAGATCAACATAATCCCAAATGCTTGGCTTGCTGTACAAGTCCATGATTTCTGACATCAATATCTCCTTTTCTCAGTTTCCCAGCTCCTTCATATCCTTTGGTTTCAATGACTCACTAGAAGGTCTCCCAGATATTTAGACCCATTAAGGGAATCAATCATGTGCCTGTAGGTAGCCGGCTGGTTTTAGAGAATCTGCTGAGTGACGAGCCACGATCCTGCAGACTGTTAGTTACAGCACGGCTGGATGGAGACTGAAGGTGTTGCAGGCAGGGGCTGTAGATACTGGTGAGCAGTTGGAAGTTATGTCCCTGGAGAGTGAGCTTCTCCAAAGGATAAATAGTTCCTAGTGTTGAGATACCTTGAGTTTATAAAAGCCTCTAGGAGGATGGGGCTTGTGTTCCACCCTACTTCTCTCTCCTTAATGCAATGATTACTTCAGCAAAAACGAAAGAGTTAACCATTAGCTTAGAAACCCAGACTGTCAATCCTGCATAATTGCTTGTTCTAGTACTATGTAGCCTCCTATAGATCTGTGCTAGGGGACATCATGATAGATGGACAGAAGATTGAGGTTGTCTACTGATGGAAGCCTGCCGTCAGCAGTTACACAGTCCCTGAAGGGGGGAGTAGGGATAAGGAAAAATGAGAGACAAGAGAAAGAGTCAGAGGGCATGCAGTGAATACTGCAACCCCGAGTTTATTATTATCTATCCTTTTATAGGAAACAGAAAAACAACGAAGCCTCAAGGCTGACAATACATTTCGTTTTCCATACCCTCATTTAGCCCTAGGGTTCAAGAAACAGTCAAACCTGGTTTTGTACTGAGAGCAGCAAAGTTTCTCTTGTGGGAACATCTGTCCATATCCTTATCATACAACGGATTGCTTCCTTATATCTGTTACTTAATAATTTTCTAGTGCTATATGAAGCTTTCTATGTGTCTTTTTTAAAGGTTTCCCACAGTCTACAATTCCATTTTTATTTAGTTTTATTTGTGAATTAACATTTAAATATTTTAACATTTAAAAAATTCCATTCATTGTTGCATGTTTTCCTCTCTCCCGCTCTCTCTCCCCAATGCTTTCATTTTACTTGGATTTATAAGAACAGCAGTCAAGAAATGGAAAGACATGTTGCATGTCAAGGACCTCTCTACAGTGCTAAAGAGGAAGGATGTCTGTTTAAAGACCCAGGCGTAACTCATTCAAGCCACAGTCTCTTCTGTTGCTTCTTGTGAATCTGATAATTATTGGACAGTGAGTCAGGATGACAGA